TATCATATATTTGCATACTGGTTAAATTTTCGATAGATTATTGGCCACTGATAAAAGAGATGACAAAAACCTACGGAGGTGCAATTATAACGGCGGTCCGCAATGGGTTAAGCGAAAAAGTATTGCCGATCTTTGAGAAACAGCCGAACCCCTCAATGCCAAAATTTTCTGAAAATGACTTGAAATTTGGAACCTAAAACTATTCTCAAATCTAAAATCGAGACAAGTATGGTTTTGCTGTGCAAATATTTTTGAAGGTATTACCGAAAACTCACCTATAGATAAAAGGGAAATCAATAGGCTTTATTATGCTCTATTATAAGTTGTGATCATTACACATTATACATGAACTAGTTCGGATTTCAACAAGTAAAATCGGATAGCGTTGAATGCTTATTACTATAAAACAGGTCACCTACCGCCTAACTCGGGAAACAGATCTTTCTCTGAACAAAGCAAGAACCCTTCGTTCATCATCAGCATCGATCACCATAGCTGTACGTTTTAAACTATTTACAGAGTTATTAGCAAGAGAAAAAAAATAGCTGATCACAATTAAGCGGATAGCAACGCCTGATCGAAATGACTACATACATTCCATAAAATGAAATCATGTGGCGAGTAATCGATAAGTGATTAGCCATACGTATGGAAAAGAAAACTATACAGAAGCGAAAACTGATGGGGTTTTTTTTCAAATAGTAATCTACTATTAGATCGATCTCAATCAATGACCAACGGTAATAATAAGGCAAACGAGGTATCAAAACCGATATAATGACATGAGAAGGCCCGCAACTAGATGAAAACAACTGATGATGTGATGATGCTGATAAAATGATAATACGAATGAACAGGCACGCATTACAGTGACAAAATGAGCACAACGAGATGAAAAAAAGAAGAAACCTGAGTACTGCTAGTGGAGAAATTTGCGATACATTACTGAAGCACTTGATGGACGAGTGAAGCGTTTAAAAGAACATATTTTCATCTCACAAAAAGATCAAAGCGAAATCGAAGTAGAGAACGCACCGACACGCTCGTCAGACGTTATGGGATGTTACAAGGTTCCCACACCACCCACGAACGCAATTATTCGTAAACTAGTCTATCGTAACAAGACTGAAGAGAAACTACTCATATAAGTGCATCCCACCCATACCATACGAAACAATTGATGTGACAGAACTCGTCCATCTAGCGCTTTTCACACAATTAATCTTATGCTAGCAGCCAGAACTATCACCATTCTACAGTAATAATGGTATTAGCTGACTTGGTTCACAATAAAAAAAAGATAGAAATAGAACTTACTCCTGAACTCGCCATCGAGGCGTGCAATGATGTGAGCTTCGAGCAAGCTTTTTAAACTGCAAAACAGGCAATGAGGCAAACATGGCAATAAGAAACCACTCATACTGAAGAAAACCAATCATCAAACATCGTTATGACAAAACGATATCAACACCAATAGAAGTTGATAGTTTACATCTGTATAATACAAAATAAGGCCACACAGAGCTTAGTTAGTAATCAGCTGAATTCGTATATGGATAAATGCACGTATATCCAGGCATCAAGCAACACAACAACACACACTGAAGGGGATTGCCAGTATATTCCGGTAGAAAAACATAATAACTCTAATTTACTCAATGTATGATAGGTTGATAATATGTATTGTATAAATGATTATAATTAAAAGTGCTATATGCATCTTTACAGTATCTGAAAGAAGCGAAATATTGAGAGAGACAGGAGAAAGGGTGCGGATTAATGAGTGATATCGGCAATTGAGGAGTAGTTCGTTATAACTTTGCTATGCTATGATATATGAGATTAATTGCATTTACAAGTTGTAGTAGGAATCGGATAATTTTGAGTCCTTCACGTGAGTATAGCATGTTAGAAGATGCAGATTATCACATCATTCACAACAATCGCTCTCCAATATTTTCGGAATAGCTCGTTTGACTGTAGCTTATGTTGATGCATTATATCCTTCATGCCTAAACATCTTTGAGCTCTAAACATTAAGTCCTACTATTGACGAACATTGAAAACTCGAAACTCACAATTATTGACATTTGCGAGATATATAAGTAATACAGTAGACTGACAATATGGGCAGGAAATGTTAGTGGCAAGTGGCACGCTTACCACGCGAGCGGTCCGGGATCGAATCCTGGGTCGTGAGTCGCCCGGGCCAACCAAGCCTTCCATCCCTCCGGGGTCGGTTAATTGGTACCAGACTTGTCTGGGAGGATAAAAACACTGACTTGTACATCGGCTGGCCCGCAAGTCATTGTATAGGCCACATCGCATTCAAACGCCACTACGAATGTACAAATGGAAGTAGAATGCGTGCCGCATCCCAAAAAGGGATTGATCAACGGCAAATGCTTATGCCTTTTTTTAACTGAATAATAACAGCATTTGCTACAGCTACTGGCTTCCTTTTCATAGTCCCACTAAACCACGTTCTAGCCAAATTGATCCTATTTCAACGACAACCAATTTCCGACTGAGTTCTGCCATCCGCAACTGTGTGTATCGGAGTCTTTTCCGTTTGTAACCAGAAATATGTGCCATGGAACGAATTGAAATAACAAAGCCAGATGAGTTCGCGTCGAACAATCCATTCTGTGGGAGGATGTGGTAGCCCATAAGTATCACAGATCAAAAAATCGCGACAATGGCGCTAGTGCTAGAGTCTCACAAAAGGAACAAATGGCGGCTAATGTGAGCTAATGGACGAGTTAGCTCGTGCGCACCCCCATGACACGTTCAAATGGTCACGCGTAGCGGCTAATTCAGGGCTTATATTTTTGGTCACTTCGGCATCCAACTATTCATTATCAACGCTACTATCCCATCAATTTGATTGAATTGTTGCTTCAATAGTTAAGAAGCGAAACAAACGCAATAAATTAAAGGCTTAAAACAACCTAACAGATGGAGCTCAGAAAGAAAAGGCTTTGCTTGGAACATAAAATTTGGAATTCTATCACCTCTGGTTCAGCAGAAGCAGCAGCAGCCCTGACTCGTTCAAAAAGAGCACGTAGACACTGAGATCCAACCGTAACATCTTCTAAACGTGGAGATGCTGCTGCAGCAACGTTAGCCGCTGCCTGCACAGCCTTTGCCAACTGCTGGTTCATCAAGTTACCTGAAAATGGATAAAAGCGGTAGTGTCAGAAGTGGCTGTAAATGGCTGAATAAAAAATATAACGAAGAAAAAATTTCACAAAAAATCTTTTACTCACCACTCATGTAAGATATTAATAGCGGATTGACGAAGCGCAAAATGAATACGTTACTGAAAAATCATGTGTTGTGTCAAAATGAACGAATATTACTAGGTTCGGAAATCAAATAGGCAAAATCATTTTATACTAACTACCGTTTCGTAATCACCTCAAGAGAAGATTGAAACAACCAACCTTAAAACTCTTCTCAATATATGTGGTTCATCAGGAAATCGTTCAGCGGCAACGCGGGCGACAGTTACGAGTAGATCGTTCACTAACGAATCAGGGGCCACAAGTTTATCGAGCATTTCGATTACGTTATCCATATCCGCCGGCTGCAAAGATTTATCGTAAAAAATCAAACTTCGATCACCAACGATATTACGACTAACTTGCAGAAGCTTCACATTAGACATCCCAACTGCATCAAGCGCCTCTTCTAGTCGTGATCGACCACCTATACGCAACGTTTGTGTTAGCATCGTCGTGGTAAGGGAATCTTGTCGCATAACATTTTCTGCGGAACACGTTGCCAATACCCGTCGTAAAAGTCGACTAAAAATCATTCAGCGCTATTAAGAGGAACCAAACGTGAACATTTCTTGAATGCTACCTTATAAACTGCAGCAATTCATCACGATTCGGTAGAAGTAGCGAGACAATGGACCAGCACAACAGCGAACGTTGTTGAATTGATAAGGCATCAGATGCCCACTCAAATAGTTCAACAGTTCCTTGCCTGCAAGTAACATATTGAGTAATCAAAGCATTTGCTATGATGAGGGTTGTTGTCATTTTCGGCATCAGTTAGTTTGAAATCGTAATTGTGCTTTCCAGCACCAGATCAAAGCAGTTACTGAACTTACCTATGAGTTTTAGCCATAGTTTCACGATTACGCAGCCGAAAAAATTAACTAAGCTCTATAGGTGAGTCTGGCTTTTTTTATTCTGTAGATGTATACTGTGCGTGAAGTCACTTAGGTTGCCCCGGCCTTCTTATTTTTCGGTTTTCAATACTGATGTACAGATCGTTCTTGTAGTCACAAATAATGTCCGCTTCTTAGCTCGATTCGAAACCGCTGTGGATATTTCGATAAAACAGCCCTTAACAGGGCGCGGTTCAAGGACGGACTGCAGCGTTAACCAGCGGAGGATTGGGCCACAAAAAACTCCGCTTTCTGGAACATTCTTATTATTCACAATTAGGATGCGAACTGATCGTTTCGACGGTATGGGATAAAGCGGCTCTTGGGAACACAACCGACCAAGGTACTGTTTGCACAAGCCCAGGCAATGCCGATAGTCTAACTACGGTTGAGCTTATTTTTTCGTTTCGAAATAATTGTATGTACAGAGGTGTTAATCCGTTCTGTGTATGCCCTCAACATAGATTAGAATTTCCGCTTTCTTAAGCTCATTCGAAACCGCGTGGGATATTTCGAAAACAGCCCCTTCAAGGCAGCGCGGTTCCAGGGCTGGATGCAGCGTTACCCAGCCGGAGATGGTCCCAAAAACTCCGCTCTTCTGGACACATTCTCTATCCTTCACAATGGGGAATGCGTCTTCGACCGGAGTAGGGGTAAACGGCTTTGGGAACACAACCGACCGGGTACTGTTGCACAAGGCCCCAGGCAATGGCGAAGTCTCAACCACCGGTGGCTAACCTTGTCCTTCATAATTTTTTTGCAGTAGAGGGGGGAGGGAGTGGCCACGTGACTAGTACAAAGATTCCTCCATGTTCTCTGTTGAAAAGGGTTACCGCGCGGAGGGTTAGCGCGGTTCCTAGTGGTGCTACGAAAGCTTACTACGATACGAAAGCTTTGAAAGAAGCAGAAAATGAAGAAAGGAGTGACGTAACATACTTCAAGTACTCTAACAAAGGCGCATATTGAGCTTGGTTGAGCACACGAATCCGATGTCGAACTGCTCGGAAGGAGAAACCAGAGTCTGGCGAGTCAGTAAGTGGTCGTGAATCAGGTAGAGGAAACAGTGCCGAAACACCGAGCGGTCTATTCTTCTTCCCTCCACCCGAATGAGATAGTATTGAGAACTGTAAAGTTCCATTTTCGGGCGGCACCAAGCTGCAAAGAAATAATGATAATGAGTTGAAGAAAAATCGGTACATAAGGAAACACTCACGGAAGAAGGAAGGAGCAGTCAAAAATTACAGATGACACTGAACCTTTACTCAACGTCGCCATGATCACAGGGGTGCTACATACCTGAAGTCCACTATTTCAATCAACAACGTAAAACTATGAAACAACTTAATACAGCATACCTTCACTCCACATAGCATTCCGTACGCAGAATAGAAGCCATCCGATTTTACTGATTCGCATCTAAAAAAGAATATTGCAAAAAATAAATGGGGATTTAGCAGAAGCTAGAACATCCAATCACAGAAGCTCACACCTATATTTATCTATGTGAAGTTGCAAAACAGCCACAAATGACTGCTTTGGCGGTTCGAACTGTAAACCAATCATCACCGGGACTGCACCTGTTCGAAGACCCAAAACACGCGGCCTGAAATACGAAGAAAGAAAGCATAAAGAAAATTGAAATGCGAAACCTTTCTGAGTATACAAGAGAAAGAAATGGAAGGGTCAATGTAGGGTCCTTGAATTATTTTTAGAAAGAAAATAATTTCTTCCTCTTGCGGCGGACGGCTGCAATTACAGGTGCAAAGCAAAATTACGGAAGGGT